GGAGTCTGCTTCTCCCTCTGACCCTCCTCCCTCTCATGCTCTCTGTCTCTCATTCTCTGTCTCGCAAATAAATAAAATCTAAAAAAAAAAAAAAAGAAGTGGGAGAAGTGTGCATCTGCTATGCAGGATAAAAGACAGCAAGAGGTGGGAGAGAAGGCCTCGGATGTCAAACACTTTAGTCTTCATCAGGTTGGTGTGAGGAATCAGAGAAAAAGAGCAACAGGACTTAGTTTTCATGAAATGACTTCGGCAACCAGGTAGAGCAGCGACTGACAGATGCTGGTCCCCAGACCCCTGGGGTTCCCTGGTGCGACATCCAGGCCTACTACATTAGGACACAGAGTACTTTTTCACTATCTTATATTTGGTTGCAAGTAAGACTTTTACTTAAAAAAAAAAGAGGAGGAGGGGGTGCCTGGTGCTTAAGAAAAAAAATTAGAAAGGAAAGAAGAAAACCACTGGTCCAAAGAACTGATTCTCAATGGGGGGTGGGAGTGGGGAACAAGGGGGCATTCTGCCACCCAGGAGGCATGTGGCAATGCAGCAGACATTTGATTTTTTTTATTTTGTTGTTTTTTAGTCTAAATGATTTCCCTCCCCAGTTTCCAATGGTTTCAATTACACTTTCCATAAGCCTGCAGGCATTTTTAAAAATCATAAAACATTAAAAAGAAGTAATAGCCCAAGGCTTTTCACTTTTGGCAGGTTTGAGGTTATCTGTTCTCACAGTTAGTTTCCAGGAGGTTATGAGCTCTACCAGAAAATTTCAAAGAAACAGTTTAACTCTCTCCAGGTTTTTTGATAGGAAAATTCACTTAACCACGGTTCTTGCAGACATTTTGGTCGTCACACTGGGGCTGGGTCCTGTTGGCATCTGGTGGTTGGAGGTCTGGAATGCTGCTCAACATCCTACAATGCACAGGGCAGCCCCCCCACAACAAAGATGATCTGGCCCAAAATGTCAGTAGTGTCAAGGTTGAGAAACCCTGATCTAAGGATGGACTGAAGGAGAGAGATCAGAAATAGACACACTATTAAGATTATTGCAGTAATTCAGGGCGCCTGGGTGGCTCAGTCTGTTGACTGTCTGCCTTTGGCTCAGGTCATGATCCCAGGGTCCTGGGATCGAGCACCGCATCAGGCGCCCTGCTCAGTGGGGAGCCTGCTTCTCCCTCTCCTGCTCCCCCTGCTTGTGCTCTCTCTCTCTCTGTCAAATAAATAAATAAAATCTTTAAAAAAAAAATAAAAAGATGATTGCAGTTATTCAAAAAGATGAGGATGGGACAAGGCAGTGGCAATGACAGAGTCATAAGACACTCCACGCAGAGGCATGAGCCTCAATCAGCAGAAACACTGAGGCCTTGTCCCATGTGAAGAAGAGGCATGGGGATTTTTCCACAAACAGAATGCCAGGCACAATGTTCATCTGCTATGATCTGTGGGAGCTGGGAATCGTAGGAGCTGGGGCTAATAATAGAAATAAGTCCTTCAAATTTGCCTTTATTTTTTTCACCCTAGACTGTTCTTACGTTACTGCCACTGCTTTGCACATACAGAAGCTCTAAGCAAATGTTGGAACTTTGGTTTCCGCATTTTCTTAACGAAAAAGTTTTATCGTAAGAACTTAACAGATGTGAAGAGAAAATGGCAAGGAAGTTATTCAAAACCCGTATCACCTACCACGAATCAAGGTCACACCCACCTGTGGTTTATCCAGTGAGGAATATTATAGTCATCACCCAGACGAGAATCACAAGGTGCACTTCGATTATGCAGCTAGAAGGGAAAAAGCCAGTGCACAGATCAGCTAGAAAACAAGGAACTTTCCTGTTCTGAAGTATTCTCAAGATCACCCTAGTACTAGGAACTGGCCTTTAGGAAGCAATCCAAAATCGAATCACCTTGAACAACGGGACAGCATGTAATGGCTGCTCCCCCATGCACACCAAGTCCACACCAATTCCTAAAAAAAAGACAAGAAGAGTTTGGGGTGGGGGTGAAAAGAAGTAGAGATAAGTGTCCCAATCTATTAACAGTACTATTGAACTGGGTCAGGGTATGAGGCAAAGCCGACTTTCCATCCTATGATTTATAACCTCATTTGCCTACATAGCAAAGAAGTAAATAGAGGCATTTTGTCTCTTTCCACTTTACCAGGTCCCATCACAGCCTGCAATTACTGAATGCTTGACAATTAGCCTTTGACCACTTTGTAGATGATGATTTGTCAAAAAGACAACCCAGGCCTCCATGACTAAAGTTTCGAGGCCAGAAAGGAAAAGGAACCTTGTTATTTCAGGAAAAAAGCAAAACAATCCATATCATTTAATGGAGCTTCTTTATGGACAATCAGGATTTACAGTCCACCTCCATCTTGTTGTTGAAGCACAAATTTAATGAGGCCAGGGGTACAAGGTGGGGAAGCATGGCACATCATGGAGGGAGGCCTGGATCCAAAGAGCTGACGGTCCTCCCCAAGGCAGACTGATGGCACACTGGTTACTTGAAACAAACCCCCCAAAAAGAGTTCTCCAGTGTCATATATGTTTGTGAAACTCTGAGTACCATTAGCGATAGACATGATACACTTACACATTTAAAACCTGCAATTAGAGAATCTGCCTAAACTGTGTATGACCCAGCATTTCCCAAACCGACTTGACCATGGAACTTTTTTGTCCCCTAACATTATTCACATCTCCAGGATCTCTAGCCAGGGAGAGCTCAGAGTTCTAAGGGTAAGTCAGGCTATAAACACTCGGGAGACAGCACAAACCAGGGAGCATTACCGTTATCTATCATCCGCTGCTTGGTCAAGATCATGAGTAGACGGTCCACTTCAAACACACCTACCCCAGGCGTGATCACCACAGACATCTGCCCAGTCCGGTCAAAGTTGCGGTTGATGTAGTGCTTGTCAAACACTTGAAAGAAAGCAAAAGTTCTCAAATGAAGAGGTTGCAGCTTTTCAGAAACCAGCCACTGGTGAGCCTCTCTGTGCCCTCGGAGTATTTTGTCCATGTTTCTATTGCAGCAACAGACACATTCTGACCTGAATTCTAATTAGTCGTGTGCACATCTGTCTCTCCCCATCTACATTAAGAACTGCTTGAACACAAGACTATGTCACTGTTGCCTTTACTAACACCCCCTCATTGATGCCTAATACTTGCCTTGAGCAGCATTAAATGCTCAAGTTTCATGTCGTTTAAATTTAAACAATCCATAAATGAGTCTGTATTGAAATTCAAAAAAATCAAATATTAATTTAAGACAATATTTAAAAGAGTGGACTTTGTAAATCTGGCAAGTTAATTTTTATTTCTGTCCTATATAATCCTGATTTTAGAAAACCAAAGATATTCCAATATGACAAAAAGATTCACTAAGACAACACCCTGTGCTTTAGAATCCCTGGCACCTGGGTGTAGACACATGGGCAGGTTATATGCACAGTGAAGTGACCACACATCATCACTTCCCCCGCTGGCCAGTGCCAATGGATGCCTAACCAAAGCTGGGCTGATCAGGCCCTGCTGGGAACACGGAATTCTGAACAGAGAGGAGAGAGCTGACAGCAGAGCTGGGAGCTGAACACTGTTCTAGGAATACCTGCTTTTGCAGTTTCTGGAGCCACCCTGGTCCCCACCTTCTTCTGCATGATGTTCAAGCCTTTCCTGGTAGCCCCACCAGGTCCCTATATCCTGAGAGTAAATTTCCCTTTTTGTGTACACCAATTCAGTACGTTTCTGTTATTTGCAAACAAAGCATTATCAGCTAACATATAAATGCAGGAACAAACCTTCAGAAGAAATCACACCACGCTGTTAACAAGGTTCCCTCTTAGAAGGGAAATGACAGTAGAGGGAGGGGGGAGACCTTCATTTTTACTTGATATACCTCTGATTATTAGAATTCTAGGAACAATGAGTTCTTTTTGTATATTAAAAAAAATTTTTTTTAATTACCTAGAAGCAATTGAGGGATGGAGTAGAAAATATCAAGAAGACAGCTTTAGTAAAACAGCCCAAGGAAGATTCCTTCTAGCTCTTTATTCTCAGGTTACCATGAGAAGCAGATGAGAACAGCAAGTTAATTCCCAAAAGTAGACCCAAAAGCTAAATGTTGGCCATTAAAACCATCCAATCAGAAGTTACTGCTTTCAATTAATCTTTGGGGTAGGTAGGTGGGGAGATTATCAACTGGTTTGGGTCTTTGGACATTAGTAAAAAGAAGTTCATAGCCATGTGGTAAACAAGATGCCAGCTCACCATGGCTAGTATCCTTACTCACCATTGAATGACAGATTGATGGCCTCTAAGTAGTTTCCTTGTGCTGAGGTAGAATTGTCTCCTTGAGGAAAACCCTCTGAAGCAAAAGACATAAGAGAGGAAAAGTATCCCATGTAAGATGAACTCTAAAAGAACAAGTGGAAAGTGGCTCCACAGGGCCTGCCACCCTGTAGTAGGGACATTACTGAACTCACTGCATACCTAAAGAACAACTGGACCCAACTGGAAATAGGAACCTGACCAGAAGCAGAAACTAGGCCCAGCACTGGGAGGGAAGCAAGCATGAACCTCTTCATCTCCTAGCTCCCATCCTACACCTCCTTTCCCTGCCACACCTCCTACCATATGAATGCAGTACCTGCCTGTTCCAGTCGCACCAACACTGGATACTGGATGAAGAGTTTTTTAATGGTCACAAGGAGTGAGGTCCACTCTTCTCTCCTCTCATTCTGCACCACCACTCTGAAAGGAATATTGTCATAAAATACTGAACAGCTATTACATACATCAGGCTCCTCACACGGTTTCGGAGGAAAGGAGAAGATGGGATTCCCAAGGTGAGGGTAACTTACCATGTAATAATAAGTATTAAAGTCAAATGCACGTAATAAACATTAACAAAGAAAACTAATCACATCAATAGTCACAAAGACTGAAAACAAAAATAAAATATTTAAAAATTGCCTTGAGATTATATTAATGCCTAGCATTGAGTAGGAATATGAAATTTTCACACATTGAATTACAATTAGGTGGTATATAAAAAGCCTAAAAGAAAACATCTATATGTATGTTTTACATACATATCCAATAAACACGTCTAGGTCAGGGAACTAGATTAGTAGATAGGGATGGGTTGGGGGGGAGCCTTGCTGGCTCATTCAGTGGAGCATGAGACTCCTGATCTAGGGTTGTCAGTTTGAGCCTCATGTTGGGTATAGAGATTACTTAAAAATAAAATCTTTAAAAACAAATAAAAATAAAAATGGGGCACCTGGCTGGCTCAGGGTTGTAAATTGGAGCCCCACTTTGAGTGTGGAGATTACTTAAAAATAAAAAAAAATTTTTTAAGATTTTATTTATTGGGGTGCCTGGGTGGCTTGGTCATTAAGCGTCTGCCTTCGGCTCAGGTCATGATTCCAGAATTCTGGGATTGAGCCCCACATCGGGCTCCCTGCTCAGCGGGAAGCCTGCTTCTCCCTCTCCC